GAGAGAGAGAGAGAGAGAGAGAGAGAGAGAGAGAGAGAGAGAGAGAGAGAGAGAGAGAGACGCTGCAGAGTTTTTTTCTTCAACTCTTGCTGGAATCACAGGAGGAAGAAAAGCAAAGTGAAGAGAAACCCCAGCAGCACAGAATTCAAGAGGATTTGTTTTAAACCATGAAACATCTGACGTGGATCAGCGCTCTCTCACTCCTGCTGTCTTTTACACTAGGAACTGCAGATCACAGGTAAATCACCCTCTCATTTTAACACCAAACAGACTCTATTGTGGAGAAAATGTTGTTTGTTAGTGTTTGCTCTGTCATTACGTTGCTGTAACTATTTAAACTCCCAGTAGAAAACAGTAGAGATCTGATGTATGCCAATCACTATTATGACATAAAAGTTCTTGTTTTAATTTCACATGCATTTATGCAACATAAATTTCATGATATTGCAAAAAAGGCAAGGTATTTCAAAACATTTCACAAAAAAATGTATGTTAGGATTGCACATACAGTCTATAAACTGTCAAATATACTGTATGTGCAAATGCAGCATGCAGTGTGTTTTAAAATACTGCAGAAAGATATTATAAATATATAAAATACATTCAAAAAATATTGTAAATGCTAAAATATATTATAAATGTTTTTTTGTAAATACTAAAATATATTCTAAGATGTATTATTATATTATATAAGTTCAAATATATTGAATTTGCATATGTAAATGACCATCTCTGTATGTTTTTTTTTTTTAGTTAACATGAGCATCTGTGACATTTCAGTGCAGGCTTTTTGTACAATAAATGTAAGATTATTGGGATTTTTTAATGGGATTTTATATTAATTTGCTTTTTAAAAAAGTCTTGCTTATTTGAATTACTTGTAGAAAGAAAAGCATAGATATTACCTTGAAAAGAAACTGTACATGAAAAGATGCTCATGCTTCTTTCATGGTTGCAAGTTTGATTTTCACTAATTATTTAGCCATGCTGATTGCATACTACTACTACTACTACTACTAATAACTTTTATTGGGGCATCATATTATTTTGCAAGAAATTCACTGGTTCGAGTCCCGGCTGGGTCAGTCTTCGTTTCTGTGTGGAGTTTGCATGTTCTCCCCATGTTGGCATGGGTTTTCTCTGGGTGCTCCAGTTTTCTCCACAAGTCTAAAAAAAACATGTGGTCTAGGGGAATTGATGAACTAAATAGGCCGTAGTGTATGAGTGTGTATGGGTGTTTTTCAGTGCTGGGTTGCAGCTGGAAGGGCATTTGCAGCGTAAAACATAGAACAGTTAATACAACATCAGAACAATGGATGGAATATAGAACGATGGACAGAACAATATAATGATGGAATGAATGATGGATAGAAAGGTAGAACGTTGGAAAGAATTGATAGAATGATTGATAGAGCGATAGAACAGTGAACAAAACAATAAATAGAATGAAAGAACGATAGATATAATGATGGATAGAATGATAGAATGATGGATAGAACAATGGATAGAACGATGGATAGAATGAAAAAAATGATGTATAGAACGATGGATAAAATGATAGAACAATAAATAGAGAGATGGACAGAACAATACAATGATAGAACGATGGATGGAGAGATAGATAGAACGATACAATGATAGAACGATGGACAAAATGATAGATAGAACAACTGATAGATGGATAGAAGATGGACAGAATGATAGAACGATGGATAGACAATGGATAGAATGATAGCTAAAGCAATGGATGGAACAACAGAATGATGGATAGAGCAATGGATAGAAAGATAGAATGATGGATCGAAGGATAGAGAAATAAATAGAGAGATGGATTGAACAATACAATGATAGAACGGTGGATGGAGAGATGGATAGAACAATACAATGATAGAACAATGGATGTAACAACAGAATGATGGATAGAGCAATGGATGGAAAGATTGAATGATGGATCGAAGGATAGAATGACAGAATGATGTATGGAACAATAGAATGACGGACAGAACGATGGGTAGAACAATAGAATGATGGATAGAATTGGATGGAGGGATAGATAGATAGATAGATAGATAGATAGATAGATAGATAGATAGATAGATAGATAGATAGATAGATAGATAGATAGATAGATAGATAGATAGATAGATAGATAGATAGATAGATAGATAGATGATAGAGAGATAGATAGATAGATAGATAGATAGATAGATAGATAGATAGATAGATAGATAGATAGATAGATAGATAGATAGATAGAGCACTGATAATGAAGCTAGTGCTGCTTAACATCTGCCACTATGGTGATGCATGGACATTTATAGCTCCGCCTTCATTTGCATTTAAAGCGACAGTCACCAAAACATCACTATTAGGATCAATGCCTAAAAGGGTCAGTTTCAAAGAGTTAGTGGAACATTATTTGTGTGTTATTTTGAGCTGAAACTTCACTTTACATGCTCTAGAAACATCAGACTCTTATTTTACATCTTGTTATAAGGGCATAATAGCTCCCCTTTAAAAGTGTCAGTAAATTATTTAAATTAGAGTGTCGAATCAAAACACAATTATTTAAATAGCTGATGGAAATGAGATGTAATAGCTGTTGATTTGTGGCTGTGAGCTTCAGTGCTTGTGCAAATGCTGGTGTTGTTTTGTAAAGTGTTCTGATGAGCAGCTAATTCTGTCTGTAATGAGCGTCTGCCACCTGTTCACATGAGCGGCTCCATTTGCTGGGTGTATTTCAGTCGGTTCACGGATTCACCGCGTCCCTCTGGAGCCCGGGACAGATTTAGAGACTAGCATGAGGAGCGCGCAGAATTACAGACATCTGGATCAATGCGTTCACAAATGCTGATCAATGCAGTTTATATATATATATATATATATATATATATGTATATATATATATGTATTTTTTTTTATTATTTAAAGGGCACCTAATATGCAAAAATGACTTTTATAAAGGGGTGTATATCCAGTTGTGTGTCAGCATTGTGTGAATATCTCCAGCCTCTAATGATAAACATGAATTAATTGTGTTTGTTATAATCAGACTTGATGAATGAAACACTTTGATTGACATTCTCCCTTTGTATGTGTCATCAGAGGGGGAAAGCCCCGCCCACTAGTGCCCATCTCTTCCTCATTAGCATAAACAACAGCCCTAAGTGAGAAGCAGCTATCACATTTCTGGGTTCCTTTAAAACATTATCTGTTGTGTCCCGGGCTATTTGCATGTGTTAATTTGTTTTGCACAACACAGGCTCATTCTGAAAACGTAGTCCCGCGAACGTTTCTGGAGACTGTGAATTATGTAGCCGGAGGTACATATAGCTGCATTTCATTTGATGAAGCGAACACTACAGGGCGGTATGATGCCGTTCTTTTTGGCGCTTACCGGCTGAACGCTTACCTCCGTGTGGAGGGCTTTCCCGCCGCAACCAGTTTGTCCAGTTAGCTCGCCGTGTATGTCGGCGGAGTTGAGGCGTAGAGAGGAACTGACCAGGGCGACGGGGCCCAGCCAGAGCCCAGATCTAAATTCTATTGAACATTTCTGAAGAGATCTGTACACCATTGCTTCCCATCCAACCTGATAGAGCTTGAGAGGTCCTGCAAAGAGGAATGGGGCAAAAATTCCCAAAGACAGGTGTGCCAAGCTTGTGGCGTCATATTCAAGAAGACTTGAGGCTGGTATCACTGCCAAAGGTGCATCAACACAGTATTGAGCAAAGCCTGTGAAGACTGATGTACATCTTTATTTTACAGCTTTTATATTTTTATTAAATTTGCAACACTTTCAAAAACTCTGTTTTCACAATGTCATTGTGGAGGATTGTGTGTAGAATGTTGAGGAAATAAATGAAAGCTAACGATTCGTTTGTGAAACACTCAACCATAGATATCCCTGCACCTCATTGTGCATGTACACCTCTCTGATCTAAATGGTATATAAAAGTTATAATCTTCAATAATTAAGGGTGGACAGTATGCACATCAAGGCACTGGCACTGTTATGTTACTTTAAAATCTAGTCGTTACTTGTTGTCATATTTCATTTACATTTTTGCTGGTTTTCTTCAACAAATCTAGCATAAGCCTAGTATTATAGTGCAAGTTGGTGTTACTTTGCCTTATGGCCAGTGCAGTAAGCGACTGTATTATCATCAATAACACTGCTTGTTGGCCATAGATATATACACTAGATATCGCATAGGGACCCTGAGCATGCATCAATAGTGCCGCCACATTGGTACAGTGCTCCCAGGACAAATGTCATTCAACCGCACTAGTCAACACAGTTATTACGTGAAGATGCGGGACTTTAGCGCTGTCTACGGGTGTAGTAACGAGCAAACAAAGAAAACAAAGCACAAAGGCAGAACATTTCATAGGTAATATTACGTTTTTTTCTGTTTTTGTTTGTTGTGAACTTTTGTGCTACTCAGGTAACGTTATTGATGATGACAGTCACTGCATTCAGCATACGGCAAAGCAGCTCCAACTCGCACTAAACACTCGGCTTATGCTAGTTTTGTTGAATAAAGTCAGCAAACAATGCAAAAGAAATATGACAACGAGATGCTGCGCTGCCAGAAACTTGTATTATTGTCGGCTAACGTTAGTGAAAGAGTCGTTCGGGGGATTCATTCTTAAACGAATCGCTCCCTCCGTCAGTATGAGAAGTGAAAGCAGGAGAGGAGCTGTGTTTCAGGACATTATTAGATCAGATTTAACAGGGAGGGTGAATAGTACATTTCCATACACACAAACACAAGCTTTTTGTCAGGAATGCCCATGCGGTCACTGATCCATCAATGTAGAAAAGTGATGTAAAATTATAATTTTTGTAATTACAAAAAAAAATGTACATACTAACATCCAGGAAAACTCCCGATCATAGATATATGTGTATATGTGTATATCTCTGGCTTTGGATGGCCACAGTCCTCCACTGTACCTTGGTCCTGCATTCATTTCAAAGGAGCCCTACCCTGTAGCAAGATGGCGGCGCTATTGATGCATTCCGTCCAATAGACAACAATAGGCCCGGCCACATCTAATGTATATCTCTATGCTTGTTGGCAAATTCAATCCAACATACCAGCACAGATCTTTAAAAAACTAAATCTTACCTTTGAAATGTTCTGCCTTTTTACTTGGTATTATTTGTTTGCTCATTACTACACCTGTACGCAGCGCAAAAGTCCAGCATCTTCAGACTGGCATTAGTCTTGAATGCTGATGAGTTTTGTCATGGAAGCCCTGTACCAATATGGTGGCGGTATTGATGCATGCTCAGGGCCTGTATGAGATATCTAATGTACATATTTATGATATCCCTACTATGAATTTACCACCCTGATGTCAAAACTACATCAAGATAATATCGAACATTGGCATCAAAAATCAATTAGATGACAGTCATTTCATGTATGTTTTAGGTATTGTTTTGAAGCTAATGTTTGATCTCAGTTTGTTTTAGCTTCGACATTAAGGAAATCAACAAAAAAATAAATCAACATATGTCATTAGGCATATTTGTTGTGTTTTATTGATGTTTATGATGTTGTTTTGATGACAAGGGCTGCCTTTTAGTCTAATTTTATTTATGTCCTTTACTCGCTAGCTTTGCTGAGCACTGCATGTATATAAAAGACATGTATTTTTACACAAGACATACATGTGATTTGCGTATATTGCCATATATCATATTTCTCTATGGATGGTGTGAAGTGTTCATTGGCTATTTTATATATATAAACCTGTGCTTGCTCTCAGCGACACACTAAACCCTCAGCGCTGTCTTAAAGAAGCTCCTGCTGAAGTGTGATGGCCATGAATAGTACGAGGTGTAATTATAGCAGAAATGTGCTGCGGGAGATTTTATTGGTTCCTGTAAGAGTGTCTGTTAAACACTTAAAGAGCCGTAAAGCAACTGCAGTTAACCCCAAAGGGTCAAAGGTCACCGTAAGGACTACGTTTACCTTCTAATTATGCCTCATTTTTCACCTGAAACAACCTGAGATCTATTTCTCTGTTCACACACACAATTAAAATGCAGACAGACAAACACACACTCACACACAAGCACATGCATGGACAGCCATGCATACACAAACACGCACACATACAAACACATGACACAAAAAGTGAAGCATGGTCTACATCTTAATATTAGTATTTATTTATATTTCATCTAAATGCATTACTATAAATCCCCCATCGGTGTGTTAAACTGAGGGTGTCCTTATTGTTTCCCCCACAGACAGCGGCGGCAGATCTCCGTCATGAGTGGGCTGGGTGTGTGTCGATACGGCAGCCGGTTGGAGTGCTGCTACGGCTGGAAGAAAAACACTAAAGGACAATGTGAAGGTGATTTAGCAGATAAAAGCAGATCTACAATAAGATTGCTATTACATTTAGTGAATCTCCTTTTTCTGTGTGTGTGTATATATATATATATTCAGATTCCCTTAAATTTTTGACTCTTTGTTATATTGCCGCTGTTTGCTAATTATTTTAGTTAATTATTTTGTACACACAGCAGCCCATACTGACAGAAAAACACTGAATTGTTGACAAATGAAAGTTTAAATCAAGCACAGTTAACCCAGATAGCATATGAATGTGGGCCACTTTAGGCAGTCATGCAGCACTGGTGGTATTCATTCAGTGAGCCTGAACCCACAAAGCAAAATTTCTCTGGCCCAGCTCTGGCCCACACAATCAGGTTTTGCTTGGCCCACATGCTGCAGTGAATTACGGTACATGACTGGACCAAATCTGGCTTCCAGACAAGGGCCAAACACGGACCATATCTGGGCCAAGTCTCAGCCAAGTTAATAACTCATAACTGGGCCTGAACTGGGCCAGATAGGTTGGTGTGTCACGGTTGCAATGAAATTGATAAACCTATGGAGTGATGCGCTTTAGGCACACTATGGGCACGCTTTTTCTCAAAGTGACCTGATTGGTAGATTTTTTTTTTTTCTTTACTCAAAAATTATTTTGGTGTATTTTAAATGTGGGTCAAGACTAGCCAAACTCACATGGCCCACTTATCAAATTTTTAAATCTGCGCCAAATACTACGTTTTTCATCTGGCCCAAATCTTGTGTGCCGCCTTAAAGACGGTGCCACCTCTGCCAAACCCGGGCCATGTTTGGCCCACATGCTGTATGTCAGTGGTGGATGAATGCCTGCTGTGCCAGCTTTTTGCCAAATCTGGGCCAGAATTCTTTGCTACTAGGGAAGTGGCCCCCATGTACAATAGCAAATAAATGGGCCATTTAAGGCAACAATTTGGCACTTATGGCATAATGTAATCTGAATCTAAGCCATCATTGCCAATCAACTGCCATCATTCCAATCAGCATGTGGTCCAGTCCAGATGTAAGTGTCTGTTGTGGGCCGGATCTGGGACAGAAAAAAAGCAAACTGTGGCCCAGAATAGGGTCAGATCTGGTTCATTTGGTTGAATTCTGGCCAATACGTGGTACTGCTTTGGCTTATTGGTGGGCCAGATCTGACAAACAGGAACAGACCGCTCTAGAGCCATCATTTCATTCAGTATGTGGTCCAGATGTAAGTGTATGGTGTGGGCCAGATCTGGGACAGAATAAAAGCAAACTGTGGCCCAGAATAGGGTCAGTTCTGATTAATTTGGTTAAATTCTGGCTGATATGAGGTATTGATATGGCTTGATTGTGGCCCAGATCTGGCAAACAGGAGCGGACCGCCCAAGTGCCATTATTCCATGCGGTATGTGGCCCGGATGTAAGTGTCTGGTGCGGGCCGGATCTGGGCCAGAACAAAAGCAAACTGTGGCCCAGAATAGGGTCAGTTCAGGTTCATTTGGTTGAATTCTGGCCAATATGTGGTACTGCTTTGGCTTATTGGTGGCCCAGATCTGACAAACAGGAGCGGACCAGCCTAGAGCCATCATTCTATTCAGTATGTGGTCCAGATGTAAGTGTATGACGTGGGCCGGATCTGGACCAGAACAAAAGCAAACTGTGGCCCAGAATAGGGTCAGTTCTGGTTCATTTGGTTGAAATCTGGCCAATACAAGGTACTGCTTTGGCTTATTGGTGGCCCAGATCTGACAAACAGGAGCGGACCGCTCTAGTGCCATCATTCCATGCGGTATGTGGCCCGGATGTAAGTGTCTGGTGCGGGCCGGATCAGGGACAGAATAAAAGCAAACTGTGGCCCAGAATAGGGTCAGTTCAGGTTCATTTGGCTGAATTCTGGCCAATATGTGGTACTGCTTTGGCTTATTGGTGGCCCAGATCTGACAAACAGGAGCAGACTGCTCTAGATCCATCATTCTATTAAGTATGTGGTCCAGATGTAAGTGTCTGGTGTGGGCCGGATCTGGGACAGAATAAAAGCAAACTGTGGCCCAGAATAGGGTCAGTTCTGGTTAATTTGGTTAAATTCTGGCTGATATGAGGTATTGGTATGGCTTGATTGTGGCACAGATCTGGCAAAAAGGAGCGGATCGCCCAAGTGCCACCATTCCATGTAGTTTGTGGGCCGGATGTAAGTGTCTGGTGCGGGCTGGATTTGAGCCACATGAATTTTGCTAGCTGGGAACCTACACTACATACTACTTTTCATTTCGTTTTACACTTGAACAACTAAATAAATGCTGAAGTCTGTTTAACTGATTGCATTTTAATTACAGTACAACATCGACGCTTTGAAAGAAACCTTATCAAATTGAAGATATTCACATTATCCGTTCACCAGAAGTTTATCACTAGGGGAAAAACACTAGCTGTGAATATACCCTATTTTCATTCAAAACATGGAAACACTGGGCTTTACTTTCCATCCACAAACTTTTCTGATACACATTGCTTGTTCTGCGGTCTGAG